CAGACACAGTTGGTAGTCCCAATGCGCTGAAAACGGCGCTATTAGACGGTTTTAGGGCTTGAGGTGGGTTCCCCACCGCACAATCACACGATTGTGAGCAAGTCAGGTGATGGGTGTCCCACCCCACCACATTGAGCGGAGGCAGCCAACAAGATTACAGTTTTGGAAAAAAAAATTACCATCGGAAGAATTAGAGCAAAAAACGACGGCTGCAGGATTTGAACCTGCGCGGGAAAATCCCATTGGATTTCAAGTCCAACGCCTTAACCACTCGGCCAAACCGCCTTGAGCAAAAGTCGCGATCTATATCATTTGGCCAAAAGATAAATGAAATAGCAATACATAACCTGGGCTTCTTTTCTTACGCGGGGCGATTTGAAACGGAGACATCCCTGAGAGAAAGGGAAAGAGAGAGGAAGGAAGGGCAGTTTATTTACCATGGCGATGATAGTGCCACCCTCAGTTGGGCAGGAAGGACACACCACCCCATAAAGAATTCAACCAAACGTACGCCCCTACTGCCCAGAACTCAGCTACCATCAGGGCAGTCATGCCGAGGGCCCCAGGGGCACATGGCAAGAAACGGGGCGTCAAAACCCTACGGAAAAAATAAAGATCATCGCCTGCCCAGGAGCTGGTCCCACCGGTCTCCACAACCATGAAAGTGGCGCATCATAGTTGAAATACCTACAGCAAGGCCAGAGAGCGTCCCCAGGGAAGGCGCCTTGGTCACACCACAGGGGTAAGCAAACTGGAACGTTCTGGCAAGGCTAGCACGGCCCTGCTCATCAGAAGGGAGCCGCGTGGCCAGGCTGCAGCACGACCCAGCATGGGCAGCAGTAAGAGGCACTCCACAAGGCCAGCAAGCGAGGTGGGAGCTAACCACAGCACCCAGGGTATAGAGTGGTGGAGGGGGTGGTGGTGAGTTTGATCAGATAGTGAGGCAGTCACGGGGCTTGACAGAGAGTGGGCAGCAGTTGTCAATGTCAACAGCGGACCACCAAACCGCTGGAACCGGGAAATGGCCGTAGGGGTGTAATACTCGCTCCATGCTGCCACCCTTGGGCGCATGGCGCGTTCTGCTTATTGTTTTTTTGTAAACCCCTACTACGTCGTGACCAACGTGTTTACTATGCATTCCACCGTTATCGAAGAAGAGCTCCGAGCACTGGTAAGCGGTTGACAGCGTATCCAGACCGATGCAGGCCCCACGTTACATGCAAGGCCACCATGTCATCCCATTCTGCCTGGTCGACAAGACCAAGCCGTTGTGACCTCGCCCAGGATTAATGCCCTAAATGCGTTGCGTGGGATTCGGCCATTGGTGGTGGGATGCTCTGCAGAAATCGGAGGAGGCGTGGTTCCTCGAGCAAGAGGTGACCGCTGCACTCGACGAAATCAAGGTGCACATTCAATTGGTAGGTCAACATTCTCAGTATACTAGAAATACGCCTATGCTTCCCCCGGTAGCTGTTAGAGCGCCTTTCGCGCCTTATTCCCTATCTCTCAGCGGTAGCTGGCGCCACCTAGCGACATGGGGGCTGTTGAGACGACCAGCAGAGTGTTTTCGCCTTTGCTCACCTCGACCTGGGTTTGCTGAGGAGGATATATTTTGGCCCATCTGGATTTTTAGGCCTTGCTGGCGTTGGGGGAATCGTTGCAAGGTAGGAGAAGGAAAATAGAGCCGTTGCTATGCCGCGGAACCAACTGTCGATGATGGCGTGGTGGGTGGGTTACAGGCGATTGCCACCACCCTGGACTAAGCACTCGATGGCTAAGCTGGCATACCTTGCTGCGACCTATTTCCCTTGGATTTTTTGTTCCGTTTTTTTCTTACTTTGGGAACTACCCTTAGGGCAAGAGTTTGAATCGTCAGCGGGATCCACCTTGGCCCTATCATCCCCCAGGTAAGCCGCAGCCTAGTAAACGCTGGACCAGGGCTCGCTTGAGGCAGCCATCGCAATCCTTGATAGATAGCATCGAAGCTGGCTCGCTATAACCCTAACTCGGCTATGTTGTAACTTTGGGACCTCGTTCAATTTTTATAGCAACGAAAGTATCAAAGGATTCGTTTCGATCTTTGGCAGCCAAATTAACAAGGGGGTAAGTCATGGCACAGTCACGACTTCAAAGGCATTGCCACGGCCGTTGATTATCTGGTCAACGGATTGGACGCGAGAACGGTGTCTCATCTGAATAAGCAGCGAGACTGTGTGGGATGGTTATCCGTATACTAGGAGCTGCGGATTGTTCTGCCCAGGCATCTTAAGGCGAAAACGTATGATATCAAGATCGACCCGGACCACCCCATTATTCTAGCGCAGGTACCTATGAGCAAGCACCAAAATTATCTTCTTTTTTGTTTTGGTGCCAATAGTGTTGGCTCGTGGCCAAGCCTGTATTCTCCTTATAACAGACCATGGCAGCTTACCCACTTTTTATTCCATGGCATGGGTTGACCGTGCATAACGATGCCCATAGATCCAAGACACTGTCAATTTCCTGCACATGGCTCTCGAGCTTTTGGCCACCGAATGCCTCCCTGCCAGTGTGATCCAGGCCCAGGAGTATATTCAAGACCTGCTGGCCTGCCTTCGGAAAGCCGAGGCATTTTTTGCCCTGCCTCTGACTAACACTATTCAGTACCCTATGAACGTAAGTTGATGCCAAGAAATAGGTTGGTGGTTTATTCCTAGCCTATGCAGTGGCTGATGAGTCTTGCGTTCGATGGCTATGCTTAACAAACTTGGATGGTTTTTGCAGATACCCGACCCAACCCTTCCAGAGAACATCGTTTTGGAGTTGTTCATCAACCGCACCAACTTTGTGGCCAAAGTGCATGTCCTAGAGTCTGGAGGGAACCTGCAGCGATCGCACAGTCACCCACCATTTTCTGGCCAACTCCCAATAGCAACTGGCACGGTACCATCACCACCAGCGCCCCGCATTATCCACCAAGTCTCCGTGGACACGGTTTACCCGTACCTAGAAACCGCCCAAGACGCCATGGCCAAGGCAGGGCACTTGACCATGGACGTGTCCAAAAAGCTGCGGGTCTTTGCCACGACTGACGCAGAGCTGTACGAATTGCACCACGTCACACGGCCGGCAGGACCAGCGCTACACCACTCTGTCTAAGCCGTGCAAGGTTCATTTATAAACTCATTCCGATCTCTATTAGGTACCGTACTTTATGCCTTGCTGGAACGTACATAAGTGACGCCGAATAAAGCGCTGGTATAAAAACACGTGTAGCATTTCTTTTAAATACACGCACACCGCCAAGTAATCAAGCCGACATATGAATCACGCCATCGGATGCGCCCAACAGCACCAATTCATTGCCAGGACAAATCGCCATGTGCGTGATGGGGGTGCGAACAATCGAGGAGTTGAATTTAGTCGAGTAGCCTTCCGACAACGGTTCATACAGTGGCTGAAAGTGAATGTTGTTTTGGTTGGTCACGTAGATCAGCTCTTCGTTGAACGTTTCGGCAGCAATAATTTCCCCCGACGAGGGCTGAAAAGCGCGAAGGACGGTTTGACTGTCCGTATCCCAGAGCACCAGTCGGCGGTCATGGGCAGCACGCAACAGCAGCTGGTGGTCCGACACGTACTGCAGCGCAGTGATATCGCCCATGCTACTACTAGTGCTGCCGGCCTGACCCGAGGACGCAACTTTTTCAAGAGGAAAAGTGCAATCGACAATTTGCCCCATACGCTGGTCAGTAGTCACCAACGCGCCGTTGGAGAAGGTTACCGTGACGCAGTGCTCCGAATGATTTACGGCCACCGTTCGACACAGAATATTACTCGAGCTAAATACGTTGGTTTGCCACTGCCCCGTGACCGACTGGGTACCAACGTTTAGCCGTTGGATGACCCCATTGGTATTCACGCTGAACAGAGTGCGGCCAAAGTTGGACGGCGCAGTCGTGACGGTGGCCAGTCGACCCGCGCCAAAGCTGTGCAATTGGGTGCCAGCAACGGGCGACCATAGGTGGACCTCGCCATCGTTGGTCGCAACCCACTCGTGGGCGTGAACCCAATGCACGTCGCGCACGCTATGATTGTGTGCAAACGACACCAGGCTGTCGGCAAAAGTTGGCGGTGCAGCGGCTGCCACCGAGTTTTCCAGCGCCTGTGACGTGTCCAGCGACCACAGCTTGGCGGTGCGATCCTTTGATCCCGACAGAAACCGGCGGTTCATTTCATCCACCGCCAAGCATCGGATCTTGGAGGTGTGTCCCGAAAACGTTTGCAGCTTGAGGTCGTGAAAGCTGAACCGCGAATGTGTTGGAATTTCGTCCGATTTGGTCGTCAAGTACCGTTGCCAATTCTTAAGATCATCGCGACAAATAGCTGCACTGGTCTTCTTGAACAGGGAGTGGGAAATGGAGGGAACCGACACCTTGGTAGAGAATGGAAAGTGCAGGGCTGTGGTGGGTGACTGGGGCTTGGTAGTGGAACGCTCGGTGGGAATACTCAGATCCAACCCACTGGTCTTGTGCGGCTGCCTGGCCGGTTTGAGTGGCGGTGAGGTGGTCGAGGGGCCAGAGTCATCGGTTGCAGACGACTGCGACTGGGATCGTACCGAAACTGACGCAGCACGGCTCAAGGTACGCGGCGTGGCATTGTCGTCGGGCCCCTGCGGTTCAGAACCGGCGGTTGCCACGTCCCGGCTGTTGGTGGCGCTGGCCTTGTGACTGCTGGGAAACGGGGACAGGGACTGGCCCAATTTGGTCAGGAACAGCTTGTCGTTGAGACTGAAGCTGCGCTTAAGCGGCTTGTTAACCAGCATCGCCGCGAGGCTGTTGAGCGTCAGGGTGGGCCGTTCGGTAGGGCTGGCCGGCCGGCTAGTGCTATCCATATCCTCAATCTCCATATTCAATCGGCGGGTCTTGGTGTCCAGCATCGAGCTGAGACTGGCCGAGTGCTCAAACACGTGCTGGACGATGCCCTCAATTTGGGGCAACTGTAAAAAGGCCGCCTGGGCTCGGTCGTGCCCCCACACGCGGCAAATCGTGCAAAAAGACCAGACCACCTGGTCAAACGCCAGGGTCCCAGTTTGATCCAGTACCTCGGCGTGGTACAGGTGCACAAACAGGTCAAAATAGTGCTGAATCAACGGCTCCACATCGCTTTCCCAGCTGGTCTCGTCCAGATGGGGCGATAGCTGAAGGGCAAAGTACACAATGCGGTGCGCTGTAAACCACTGCACGGCGCTGGCCGAGCTCTTTTGGTCACTGATGTGCTGCAGCAGCCGAGACAAAGTCACCTTGAGG